ATAATAATAATAATGATAATAATAATGATAATAATAATAATAGCAATAATACTAATAATAATAATAATAATAATAATAATAAATATTTATAATAATGAAAATGATAATGATAATGATGATAATTGATTATGAGATGATAATGTTTAATTTATTTATTTTATAAGTTTAAAATGAAATTGAACAACAAACTTTTATCGAACTTTAAGTGCAGAGATGGGGGGGGGGGGAGGCTCAAGACCAGCCATTTGCATCCGCGGACACCTCAGGATATCTTATAGCACTTTACAGTTTTCTTCTGTTTAAATGTATCTCATCGCCACAATATGTTAGTCCAACAAAAAAAAAAAAAAAAAAGCAAAAAGTGCTCTGATCTTCACGAGCGCTATATTTAGCCTCAGTAATGCAGGCCTATCTTCACTGAACGCCAAGTTTACTCATTTTGAATATGGGCTAAAAGAGGAGGGGGCGCATGTTGTGACGTTACTCCGTGGTCCGGCCGAGGCCGATCCATCCCCAGAATAAAAATGTTGTTTTCCTGGTGCTTGGCAGAGGAGCATTACTAGGTGAGAACGGGTCCCCGGTCATGCAAGATTAGTTGCTGGGCCCTTTGCCGGGGCCCTTTGATAAATAAATAAAATAATAAACTAAGATTGAATAATTTTTTTATTTAGCCTCCCCAGAAAATATATCCTAGAGCCGCCACTGGTTGAGAAAGTCTCGACGTTTCGTTTGAGTTGCTTCAATGTCTTCATGAGAATAATCCTGAAGACGATTAAAGCAACTCAATCGACTTCGAGACTTTCTCAACTATTCTTTTCATAACTACCACGTGGTGTACCGCAAGCTTCAACAATTTGTTACCTTCATTACATGGATAGCATTACCACAAAAAAGTATCGAAATCTATAACGCTTGGCACTAAATGCTCTGAGTCGAATTCCACACCTGATGAAAATAAACAAATTACAAGGTAGATCAGATCGGTCTTAATATTGCATAGCATATTTTTAACATTTCTAATATAAATACTTTCAAAATTATCTTATTCTATTCTCATGGATCTTTGTGCCATCTTATCACGCTTTCTATCTTTTTCTTATTAACACCAAAATCACCAAAGGTTGCCGACAATACCAAAAATAAGCACACTGTATGACTGGTTGGTAGAAAAGTTTAAGAATTATTCTGTTAACATTTATTGTATAAATTTCCTGAGAAATCCTCTGCCCTTTTAACAATATTAATTACAATGTGTAGGCCTATCCCATTTTAGTTTTTCATTAATAAACCAGACTCTCTCAAAATTATTAACGTACTATTAATTTCTACATTACCTTATTCCAGATTTTGCAACTGAAAATGAAAAATAATTTCTATTGTTTTAATAATGTTAAAAGCAAGGTGTTCAAAGGCGCTACAGAAGAAAGGAACCAAAATAGGTCATACTGGGAATTCATGTGAAACGTCAAGATAGGCATTGTCGTATGTCTGAGTTATGGGTGGGGTAGCCTACGTAGGGAGGTGATTAGAGTCCCCGTTAGAGCCGTCAATTTCCCAGGGGAAATAGAGGAATTCTATAGAGAAAAAGCTTAGATATTTTAAATTTTCAGGCGCCAATTTTTTTATTTATTAAAGAATGAAAATTCTAAGACTGTCATACTGATATTACGTTTTCAGAAAATTAATCGTTAGAAGTGCTTCATTTTATCCCCGGTCCCTAATGCAGTGGTGGCGCCAGGGGGAGGGGAGAGGGAGGGATTTCCGAGAATACTCCACCCGGGACCCTACCGCACCTTGACCCGTCTGGTGGGGAAGGGGGCTTAAACCCCTGTCCCCCACCAGTCCCCCACCCCCCGCTGGCGCCGCCACTGAGCATCCTAGAAGGAATTTGATACAGTGTACTGAAAACTGATGATATTTTAGTTTATATTGAATAGCGCCCCCTTTGTCGGAACCCATCGTATGATGATTTGTAAACATCGATGGCCTTGTGGCAAGTGTAGGATGGTCGAGTTAGTTATTTGTTAAATATCATCTATTGCAGGTCAATATCAAACGTATAGCATACTTAATATCCGAAAGTATGAAGTATTACTTATTTTCTATCAATATTACTTTGTTTTTAGATGTGTTAAGAGCAATATCGTTTCATAAAGTTGCAAGCACGAGGGAACAATTTTACAAGGGCCTGGCTTGCGGTTTCACTACATCCAGGGTCTCGTATTACAATACAATTTAGTTAGGGTAGCCTAACTATATAGGGCCTATTAGGCCAGGCCATGCTAAATAGTGATGGTAGTTATATGGATGTTATGGTCGTTCATCTAGATATTATTTTACTTTTGTTATATCAGGTAGTACATGAAATGTTTACTTTACCCAACAACTAAACAAGACGTAACATCATGGACAAACATTGATAATTTATTATTTCGATTGAGTTGAATGTTAGAAATGTTTTTAGGCCTAGCTAGGCTAGGCCCAGGCTTTGTTGCTAGAGTGAATTACCGCCAGAGTAGGCCTAGCCAAGGCCTAGATGTGATCATTATTCATTGGAGGTGTGGCCATGCGGTCCATACCGTTGTCCCAGCAAGGCCTTTTTGGGCTCTAATGTTTGAGTGTGTTTTATAAGTATTATTTTCTGTAATAATATATCTGTATTATTATTAAGCCTTTTTCCAATATTAAAGCCCCATTCCCGGCAAAATTTCACTAAAAAGTGTCTTTTTTTAAAGAAAATATTCATTTGCATTACTCCAATTACAAATCATGGAAAAATATTGGCATGAATTTTAGTTTACGCAAAAGAATAAAAAAAATGAGAAATTCAGACTATTTCTCATAAAATATTACCATTTCCTTGAAGAATTCATCGTTACTAGGCAAATTCAGAGGTTGTAGATCGCATCCACTGGAATACTCTCGCTTTTTTGTATACTTTTATACAGTAAATAAAGTGCGCCCTCTCTAATGAGATTAGTTTTTGTACTTCGTATCTCGCACAATGCGGTTGTTCAATTAAGGCTGAGATATGTTTGTTTAAGTGTCAAAATCTCAGTCAGCAACAAATTTGAATTAATTTCTATGGAATATTATATTTCACAAGTGTCAATACTAGCAACGGAAAATATCATGTCGGCCGTTTTTATGTGTGATAACAGAACCTAAATCGAGGTAAGGCTAGGCCTAGCCTAGCAGCGCTGGATAGGCTAATGTTTTCGGCGCCTACGATATTTCTTCTCACGACAATCGCAAAATCAAAATGAAAAATTCATCCGCATTTATTTTTTGTGTGGAACACAAAAAATCAAATTTTAGTCTTATTTTACATTTTTTTCATTCTTAGGAATGTCCAAATTCAGTTAAACTAGCAATTCCGTATTATATTTATAAATCTTTATAACATTATATAAAAATTAGATTTTTCTTAAAAACTGAAATTTTGCCGGGAAGGGGGCTTTAAATGTTTCTTATTCTAGGTAGATTAATCAGTCTTGCAAATTGTTGATATTGGCATGCAGCTGTCAGCGCAAAGAAACATTGCTACAATTTCACTATAATTTTGTTTTATTGCCAGCAAGACAAGAACACATTGACACATTTAAAAAAAATCTACAGAAAACCACAAAGGATATACCATAAAATCACTAGTAGCTGGAAGAGAGATATGACGGAAGACTGTTGACATGTCAATCCAATAATTAAATGAAAGTTACTTGTTTAAATTCATTATAGATGCATGATTCCTTCATGTTCTTGGATTAGTTCTGGCCCTAGGAGTGTAAATGTGATAGGATGACACCAAAAATCATTCCAGTTGTCCAAAATGAGTGGCTTGTCTGCTCATTTTGGTAGATAAATTTGACTGAAATATCACTGGATTTTAATTGCAGTCACTAATGTGACACCTGCTGTACCACAATATTATGTAAATCACTTCCAAAGACAGGTGACACTTGGAAAGCTTTGTGAATTACCACATGTTATGATTGCAATGTCTGATTGTAGAACCCAACATATACCAAGGAATTTTTGAATATTTAATGCCGCCTCCTTGCCTACACCAGGTCTGTGTCCAGGATTGTAAAAAGTTTATATAATATTGTTTTGTTTTTAAGAGTAAGACTCATTTATCTCTCCTGTTTCTAATTCACATGCACCATGCATTTTTATATTAATGTTCACATTTCCGAAAAATATTATGCAAAATAGAAGTGGGTTGACACAGTGGCGGCTGTAGGCTATATTTTCCTGGGTGGGGGGGGGAGGGTTACTGCCGACAGTGCCATTCAAGGACCGTAGACCCAAGCCAGGGGAGGGTTTCAGAAGGTGGTGTCCCCCTCCCAAATGAGATTTTTTTTCTGGATGGCCGAAGGGTGGGGGGAGGGGCCTTGACCTATCCAACGAGGGGGCTTAAGCCTCACAGGATTGAACTCTGTTTGTCAAATTTACTATTATAGTCAGATTCTCTTTGGTGATCATATCTTTTGAATTTTTTCCATGATGATGCCAAATTTTAAAAGAAAGTTACTCAATATAAACCAAATTTTTGTGTTTTTTGGTATGACAAACAAGAATGCTAAGGAATATTATAAAATGGCATTTAAAGAGAACTTTAATGCATAGAGCCTAGTGGTTTAAACAATGGATGCTTTGTGAATAACCTGTAACTTGTGACGTACATTGAGTGTACAGAACAACCTATCAACCTAGGCCTAGCATAGGGCCTAGCGTAAGCAATCTTGGTCTAGAAGTTCTCTTTTTTCAAGACATGGTAATAGTAGTTGACATGATAAAAGGACTACTGAGAGTCGTTGAAGGCTATTGTCAACTGTTAGCGATTGCATTTAGCGAGCATATAAAAACTAGGCATTACATAGCACAACATTTTCAATATATGATGACTGATTTTTTTTCAGAGTTTGAACACATGTAGACCTATTCTGGTACTAACTTCAACTATATGACACAGGAAATCAACTCTTGAAGTAGTTTGACAATAGATTTAGAGTTTTACCAAAAAAATGGCAGCTGATAGAATGGATGTTGATTTTGATTCACCTTGTAAGGTATGCATTAACCAGATTTTATTTATCTAATTGTGGCAAAGACAAGCCAAACCAGTCACTCGTCGCAAAATTTGATTTTGAGTTATTAATACAGTGTTAGAGAGTAAAATATAATAGCTATAAAATAGTAAAAAAATCATTCAAATCGGACATTTCGTTATGAAGTTACAAGCGTTTAACCACACAGCTGTTTAAAGAACAATATATGAGAAATCAGGCTTCAAAGTTTATGATTTCAGGCATTTCTCATGCAGAAACTATCTTTAAATCCTTAAAAAGTGTTGTTTTAACATTCAAAATGGGGAAAATAACAGCATATAATGATGTGTAGATATATAAAGTTTAGTTTAGTGCAATAAATTAGATTTTTAAAAATTTGACATTCCAGCATGTTTGGGCCATTTTCTCTGAAACACGATTTGCGACAAGTGACTGGTTTGGCTTGTCTTTGCCACAATTATTTATTTTTATATGACACAAGGCTAGTTGTGAGTTCAGTTCACACTCAAAATAACTTTTGAGATTTTTTGCGAGTGTTTGGGAACAATGCGTTTTCAGTACAATAACACATCAGGTACTTGTGGCAAAGCATCATTCCAATCTGCTTTATTTTTCTTTGAATGTTCTTATTCAATGAAGCATTTCACCGAAAGAAATATGCTACCCCATTGTACGATTGAGAAACATTCATTATTTGTTTTATACAACACCTACTGTAGCTGTATCTCTCCGGATCACCTGCATGCTCTTCTTCGAATACAAGGACCCATTTTCTTTTCAAGGCCAACATAAAACCGGCCTTGGCTCTAGGCCTAGGAATCGATCAAGTTAATTTTCGGCTAATAATAGACTCAATTCCTCACCGCTGAAGCTGGCGGAATACTCCATGCGGTTTACTGCATATGTTATTGCCTATTTTGTTGATTCGGCATCACTTTCATTTAGTAATTCCTCCAAACCTATTCGCTCAAAAGTACAAATGGCCCAGTACCAAATTGACCTGCCATTTTATTGGCAAAGCAAGGGCTACTGAATGACCAATTCATTGTTGATGCGTGGGTTGTAACGCCGTCATGGGCAGCCTAGGCGCGCTAGTCTATACTTTTCGCTTGCGTTTCATTTGAGATTTGTTGTCGTTTGAAGATGAAAAAGTACTATTCAACGATCGGTGACTAGTACTCAAATAACCATGGAATATTTTTGGACCTGTTTTCAACCAATAATAGAATATACAGGTGTTGTATAATTATTTAAATAGTGAACACTTCAAGCATACCAAGGTATCAGTTACAGATTGCTTGCGGTACAAAAACTGCTCTGAAAATGTTTGATAAATAATACACTTTAAATACTTTTATTATTACAGTTGAACTTCCCGAATCCAAAATGGAATTTAAAAATATGTTTGACTTCGATAAAATTTGACTATAACAAGATTGTTTATTAATGGGAAGCACAACAATTTGGCTTGTAAAATAAGATTGACTTAGAATTATTCGAGTTAGACAATTTTAATCTGTAGTTAATATGATTTTTGTTAACAAAATGTAATTTGTGTCAAAGAGTATAATATTTTGAATTGCCTGACATCTGTTTTATTTGAGCATTGTGATTTTATGTTTGGAAAAACATTGTACATTGAAAAGAAATTATGTAAACCAAAAGACCTTTAAAAGTTCCCAAGGGTGCTTATAATAAAGCATGTAAAGTGTATTATCAATCATGCTTGTAATTGTATTATTAGGAAGTTTAATAGCAAAAGCAAAGTAGATATTCTTGTCCAAACGATACAATCCTTTCCGGTTTTTAGAAACCACAATTAACAATCATTTAAAAATAATGATACTCCCTACCTTGATAGGTCCAGAGAAAAATCTGGATAGGGCCATGCGATGTGCAAAGCACCAAGTGGGATGGGTTGGAGGTGCTTCAGATTTAATTTTTTAAAATTGATTGAAATTTTTAAAACTTGAAAATCAGCTTGTTTACTGTTCCCCCATATTTTTCCTTTCTTTTTTTCTCTCTTTTTTTTCTCTCTTTTTTTTCTCTCTTTTTAGGAGGGGGAGGGAGAGGACCTAGACCCGCCCTCCTTCCCCTTTTCAATCTGTCCCTCTTTAGCCATGCGTTTGTCTAGCTCATGGTAATTTATATATGCCACCAAAATATGACAGAAATTATATATTTGGTTGTTATGTATGCCGGTGGTCAAAAACGATGTGTTGCACAAAGTATAGGTGGTGAAACAATGTAGTTAAATTAAAAGTATAATAATTTTGTACTTCTTACCCAGAGGATAAGCTGCCAGATGTGTCACTTTCGACAGTGAATGATCCTCAGTCATACGGTATGCTGGTTGCCAGTCAAATGATGTTTCTCCACTTTCTTCTGTCTTGGGCAGTTGTGTCGACTGTGATCTACTATTAATCATCAAATCAGTGTAGAATTCTACATTGTAAAATTATGCAACTTTTAGTATTCAGGTGGTCAAGACTGTATAAATTTCGGCAAGATGACAACAAGTGTTTACAACAGACAGACAATGTCTCACTGTCATGGTTAACTACTGGACACTTAATGGCCCCTGGCATTCATGTGGAAAACACAAATGGCATTGAGATATGAAACTGTCTCCAAGGTCTCATTTAATTATTTAGCAACAAGAACAACAGATGATTCAATGAATTGAGCTACACTGGCAATGCCAGTAGGGGAAGAGGGCATGCTAAAGCCCCATTGGCCATGGCTCGTTGGACCAGAATGTATCAGAAGCATTCTTGGGCTTGGGTTTTTTTTTCTAGAAGCAATGTAGCGATTTTAGGGTTACTAGGCTTAAATAAAACACCTAATAATATTTCATTGTCACTTGGTAAAACTGTACTTGGTAAATAAAACTTTACTTGGTGATTTTCAATGTTTAATAAAAGTATATAAAATCAGCAAACATTTAATTGACAGGTACTAATGATGACTTTTTTTTTTGGTACCATTTGGTTTGAGTCCATGCCATCTTTTTTTTTTTAAGTGGTTTGTTGGGGAGGCAGGGCTTATTTATCACCAAGTACAGTGGAGTGGAGTTGCTTACAGATCCCAGGGTCCAAGGTTCAATTCCTATATCAGCAGTACTTTTTCTCACCAGGAAAACAAACTCACTCCCTAAGCCTCATAAAGAGACTTGGTTTATAAAGGCATCATTCTCATCCTGTAAGTGACTGTTGGATGTGAAGTAAATAAAATAAATAAGTTTACATCATTACTGTATCATGAAATTTTCAGCAACATTACCATTACATGTCAGGAAGGTCATATTTTAAATTAGGTCAAAGGGAGTTTAATGACTGTTTTTATCCAGGGATGCCCATAAGTCTGCAACTTCATACCTTCTACTGATTAATCATCACCTGGATTGTCAGGGACATTCTTATGTAATATGTCCTTGCTGGATTATGCAAGCTCCTGAATGGCTGTTTTCTAAATTTTCTTTTCGAAGGTCTGGTCGATATATTTCAAGACCATAATAACATCATGATAACATCAACAAAGCTAGTTGAAGTTCATTGCCTCTTAAGTGATTAGCCTCCAAAGCTAGATCAAGTTTGAGCTCTTCACATTGAAAATCTATTATTATTTGTATTGATTTGCTATCTTGGTTGCTGAAATCATGGAAGAAGTTTGACTACACAAATTGTACCACAAATGCCCATGTCAGTTTGATTTTGATGTAATCAACAACTTGATAATTTATACGAAGATGCCTTTGTTTAAATATTCTTTACTTCAGACGCCATTTAACTCACCCGTGAGTAAATATACTATTAAATCATTATTTTTCTTTAGATTTGCATATTATGAAAGCTGTATATAATACTGGGACTGGTTCAGCTTTTAAAAATCGAAAACAGGCAATTTTTATGAATTTTTGTTAGGCCTAATTATATCTTTTTTTACAGTTAGTCTTTAAAATTATCATTTCTTATATCGTTTTAGTATTAATTAAGATTATTAAATAAAACTTTCTAGGACGACATACAGATATCGGTCTACAGTAGGCCTACATTCGATCATGAACGTAGATAGGGTACACTTCCTTCAGTGTTAGCGAAATAGAAAAAAAATATTGAACTTCATATTAGTACCTCTGATATAAATGTGAGCAGTTGTCCTAGGCCTATATTTTATCTATTTTATATATGGATTAATCTGGAACTTTGGTGGAACAGTATATCCATTGTATGTGACGAGAAACGTTTCAAAAAAAGCAAAAACAATTTTCTCCAGCTAGAAGTTACATGCACTGCTCTCACCCCTTTCTACCGATGAAACACATGTTTTGATGTGCCACAAACCTAGACTCTATACTATTTCAATGTTGATTAATCTCGAAGTTTAGTGTAAAAGAATATATTTATTATATATGATTATCAAGCTCTTTAAAAAAGGTATTGTATTATAATTGTATACTGTAAAATATCGTTTTCTCTGCGTTTTCTCTAGATTGCTGTTCAATGTCAACCCCTTTTCAAACAGCCAAGCACATGTTTTGTTGCGTCGTTGATTAACCATGGACTCTACCATTCCATATGGGTTTTTAATTTTATAATAAATTTTCAAAATAATTAAATTAAAAATATATAATCATTAAATCGTTTTTAAACGCTTGAATGTACCAAATGACTATGTTATTTTACTACAGGGATTTTAATTTCATTTATAAAACGCACTGGTAATGTATAAAAGTAGTTTTTAATTGTCGATACGCCACGGCGTATCAAGCGGACTTGGAACGTCTTCCTTGCAGTGTACTGCATCGCCGGCTGGAAGTTTAGGGCCTGTGGTTTTGATACTCTATGTTCTATCAAAGTAATAGAATAACCTTGCATTTAAAATATATTATGGTAGGCCTATATCAAAAATAAGTGTACAATAGGCCTACTTTTTGTAGTCCTATTCATAATAAAGTACAGTGACCGCCAATAAATACTCAACATTTACAATGAATATCAGAATTTAGTGCAGTAGGCTAAACTAGGGTGGCATTATTTTTTCCCAATTTATTTTCATTCATTCTCTGTAGGTCATTTTGAAAACAGACATTGGGCCTGGGTGTAGAGGAATGGCCGTTTTTGGATACGGTAGCCATTTTTTGGCCTAAATTATTGTTGTTTAGCTTCCAAAATGAAAAAAAAAACCAAAAAAAAAACACCACTAAATAAAAGTATTGTGTTTAGATTAGATTATCAAAGAAGCATATACAAGCGACTGTTGTACACACACACAGTAGATCTTGATGACTATAGGCCTATGTTCATGTAATAAACTGTTTACGCTAATTAACTTTAATTTATGTTCTACTGAATGAACTGTTCTTGTTTGATTTTTAATTTCTGTTTGTCACTTCCTTGTTGTCTTTATTTTAATTAATTTATTTGTATCGTACCAAATCCATTTTCAAATATATATAACAAATATAAACTATAATTGAAAATAATAAATACAAGATTTAATTGCACACAAAAATTCAGAGACTGATATTTTTAGTTTATTCTATGCTTTTCCATGGTAAAGTCGAGTCGTTATCACTGGGCACCGTACAAAGGGTACGGCTATGCATAACTCGGCCCGCAGCAAGATCAATGACCCTTAATTAGTCAATTTCCATAGCAGCAGAACCGTGGGACTGTTCTAGTTCTAGAAGAAGCAGGTACAGTACTGGCATTAAATTTATCCTGTCACTACGAATGTATTCCTCCATGCTCATGGCAACAACATGAGTTTGGCCTGGTTATAACACTGGGCGGCGTACAAAGGGTTTGAGCTCTGCATAACTCGGCCGGCAGCAAGATCAATGACACGTACACTTTGATTCAGTCTGTATTTCCATAGCAGCAGAGCGTGGCAATGTTCCTATGAAAAGTTCTAGAAAAAGCAATATACTGGCATTAAATTGCGTTTATCCCATCAATATTCATGGCAAAAACATGAGTTTGGCCTGATTATAATACAGTATAAAAGTGTAGGAAATTTCAGTGGGTTTCGAGTCTTGGTATTCGACATTTCAGTTTTAAATTTTACAGAATAGCTCAATAACAAATGACAGGATATAGTATTAAACTTAATTAATAATAATGAATGAAACTTATGACAAAACATAGAAAAGAGACTCTAAATTACAGTACACCAAAATCACGAGATAAACCGACGCAAACAAGTAGAACAAAAACATCGGAAAACGAACCCTAATTCGCGAAATGGAATCGTCCAACATTTTTGATCAGTATCTTGAACCACTCGTCCGCAACGCGAAGAGATTATAATCCCCAACCACGCGTTGTAGACGGGTATACGCACATTGCTTTATTTTGCGAGGCTCCCTTAGTGCTTATTGCGGTTAAACCCCTAGCCATATTCATCGCAGTATCATGCAAAAAACAGGTTTGTTTACACACAAGCCGCAAAACACGCTGAATGGTACTAAGTATATCTGGGATAAGAAAATAAAGGGAATGTACAGTAAGTTAATGGTGACAAGATTAGTTTTCAATGATTTTTATGTTGTATTTCAACAGGACCTGAGCTCGTTTGCGATGCCTCTGCTTGAATCGGATGAGTTGGATGGTAGCCGAGTGTCTTCGAGCCGCACATCCCGTAGTAGTAGCAGCAGTGGCTCTTCATCTCCACGAGCAATGGTGGGTGATAATTTTAAAGGGAGGCGATTCTCGTTTCCCAGCAATACAAGCAGGCTTTACAAGTCCGTAAGTTGCTTGCTGTGTGGATGCACTTTGACATACGCTTCAAAATGTGTCCCATCATAAATACAATGGTGTGTAACCATCATTCTAACCACACTGGGATATCATTGGAGAAAACTTTTTTTATAACCTGCTCAACAACAATATGTCTTATTCCTAATCAATATTCCTGTGAATTATTGAGGATAGGATAATTTCTGCATTTAGTAGGTAACAAAGAATTGTGTTGTAAGGAGATTTTTCCCCAACAAACTATCACCATTGTGCTTTTATTAAATGGGTGTCTGTCATGGTATTTTGTACAGTATGTGCATATCTTTTTTTTGCATATACCTCAGTTTCTATGTTAAGATGGGTTCTATAGAATAAAGTGTGAGTGTGTGTGTGTGTGTGATTGATTGAAGTGAAGTTATTTTAGCTTGGTTTTTGCACTGGTAATTATTAAGCTTCAGAGCACAAGTTTCCGGTTCTAAATGGGCCAATGATGATGCTAACTTTTTTCTTGAGTAAAAATGTTAATGGCTTGTCATCTGGATGTTTCATTCAGATGTTTCCATACTACATGTGAAGGGTGAAGGAGTGCAGAGTTGAACTGTCCAATTCACTTCTTGTCATGGCCATGTAGACTATATTGTACTGTGTTGTGATGAAAGGGATTACGGTACCTCTTTTACTGGTTCATTTTAAGCAATTGTTGAACCAAAAGCCCTGATAAAACTTGGAAAATTAAAACTCCCTCTGTCCACTCTGGACTCATAACCTCAAATGTCCATAAAGTGACACTGAACTTGCTTCCCAAATATTATTGAAACCATTGCATTACTAGAAGAAAGCTTACTGTTACTGGTTTAACCATGGAGGAACGAAATTTTAATAGTGGAGCAATGTAGCTTCATAATAAATTGTTTTGTGATATCACACTATTTTGCACTTTTGAATTTCATTTTAATAATTTGTTGCTATTTTGTGTTGGTTTGTCTATAATGTGATTTTAATTGAGGTAGTCTTTTATGCACTTGGCACTATTCAGAAATACTGTATTGTTTTCATCAACATGTTTGTTTTTGGCACTTCAGGATTTAATAGGGTTCAGTATACCTTTTTTTTTTTTATAAAACATTAATGTTTTCATTATGTATGTATTGGTTTTTTGTCCAGCACATTTGTGACAAATAATTGACTCATTATCTTCCAGTTTCTCCATCTATTTTTTTTTCTTTCCTTGTATTAAGTAAAGCTATTTTAAATGTGATGTTAACAAATTATAATCAAATATTAATTTGCTCTTCCATAAAAAAAAAAAAATATCTTTGTTTTTATCATTTTTAGTTAGCAATTTTTGGATAATTTAAAAAAAAAAGTTTATGGCTTTTAAAAACTTTACATGCAATGATAGCTTCATGATGTCAAAAATTGCTAGGATTCAAACAAGAACATGGATGTAGACTTGCTAGGTATTAACCCAATGGAAAGAAAGCCAATGACTGGTAGAGGCGTTTCACTGACTTTACCGGATGCGCCTATTGATAAGATACCAGAACTGTCTCCAGCACCGTTCAGGCTTGGAAACCGACTAATTTTCAGGAAGACAGATGCAGGAACACAGAGTAGGATGAAGGTAGATAGAATGCGGTCTACTATGATACGCTGCATGGTATCAAATGCATTGAGACGTGTAACTTGGTAAATTCGCAAAATTTGCTGAATATTGATCTCTTCCTGTATCTTCATATAACATATCCTACGAAGGAACAATATAAATACAAATGATTTGACATTTTGCAGTTGTGTTGGATTGTATGCAGCATTGAACTATGGAAATGCACAAATTACTAATAATTGCTTTGAATATTAATAGTTATTACTTTTTTAAAATAGTAATTTATTTTATTTTAATTGCCAACATTAGTTTGTCGCATATTTAACACTCTTCGGGAAATTTTAAGAAAATAATCCTACAGTAAAACCTCAATTTGATCAACAGCATTATATCCAGCTGTATTGTGTAATTATATTATGAATTAATGTTACTGTTTGACAGGGGTATGGTTGATAACTTAAAATCAAGGGTAGCTGGCTGTGGAAGAGTACTGCCGCTAAACCGCCAATGCTAGTCGGACGAGAATCCTTGGCTAGATAGGATCTCTACGGTCTATTGGGCTTAGCTCAGCAGTTTGACAGCCTTTGGCAGCAAGGTCTTAGCTAGAAATTCTGCCAAAGGAGACAATTTTTCATACAAATGATAACAAACTTTTTGTTTAAGAGCTTTGCTGGATAAAATTATTACGTAGATTGAACCCTTCTTCTGTCCTATTCAATAGTGCTTCAGCTCTTTAGTACTGTACCATAATTCCTCTGGTGTAATCCCATCCCCTTTAAGGAAAATTGGTCTGATATAGAGGGAATGTGGGTTTGTAACAGGGGATTACCCTTTTCACAAAAAAGATGACAATCTTTCTTCAAACTGACAGTGTGTCCTACAATATACAGTAGTATAATTTATAGTCAGGTTTTTAATATTGCATGGCAAAGTCAGAACCAATGTTTTGTTTTGTATTTGTGAGAGTCAGCTGAGCTAAACATTCAGTTTATACCCTGGATGTTTTTTCTGTGGAAAACATGGTACATAAAATTTTACTTAAAAAGAAGTTGGTAGGCTATACCCGAGGAACTACTGTGTATCTGTATTGACAGTACAGTGTATGCATGCATGCATGTATGCATGTATGTATACATGCATGCACAATGATTATGAATAGCATTGTAAGTTGATGCATTTTGTTCTACACTTGCTATGGCTCTTTGTGCCTCCTAACAATTATAGATTTTTATACAAAATATTTTCATTAAGGAAATACTGAGCATATTTACTATCAAATAGACAATAATTGTATTTCATACATTTTTTTTTAAGTTACTTAATTAAATATATGAAATATTCTCAGGGCGGATTCAGAATTTTTCAAATGGGGTGGGGGCACAACATTTTTAGAGTAGATGTAGGTAGCGCTTAACATTGATATACATTGAAATAGAAAATTTAGTGGCAAAAGGGGGGGAGGGGGCACATGCCGCTATTGGATCCGCGCCTGATTCTCATTTAACCGAAAGAATTTGAAATAAATTGTAATATTTCCATTAAGGTAGAGTTAAAAAGCTATCTTTTTACATACAGTACATTGTGTTTGTTTTTCATTCAATGCAATGCAATATCATTCATTGATTTTGTATAGCAATAATTAAGATATCGATTTTACCACTTTATTTCCACATAATACATGTGTGCATACAGTACATGCATGTGATAGGGGTGTGCATGGTAAGCTTACATGTGTGCAATAATGCACTGTGGCGTTATGTCAGGGTGTATAATCATTATGTGAGCCTACAGTACAAAGTGTTCATTAAATTGCAGAAGTGCATGGAATGGGTCTATATAATGTATGTGTGCAATAATTGGATAGGACAGGAAACAAGAATGTGTGTACTGTATTACGGTACATGCGATTATGCAAGCATTAGTGTGCAAAGGTATACACATGCATGTATGTTGTGGGCAAACATGTATGCATCATATTTGTGAGCATACTGTATGTGGAAAATGTGCAATCATATACACACAAAAGTGTGGATTTCACATGAGCATTACATGGGTGGATTGCAGTGCATGCCCCTGGATGTAATACCTGTGTGCAAGGAAACATGCATGCATACCTCTGAGCATGCATGCCAGCATACATAATAAATCATATCATTTAACATTGAAGTGTTTTTTTGCTGTAGTAAATTTCATGTTTTTAACTATTTCATCTAAATTTTTTCCAAAATGCACTTGCTTCCGTAATGGTACTGTGGGATATAGGAGGTAAGGCTGTATTACCTTCCCGCTGTCGTGAATAGCAAAAATCAGTTCAGATGCTGGTGGTGGCACTCCAACTTAAAAGTATTTTTGTAGCCATATACTCATCTGGTCTAAAAATATGACATTTGTGATTGCGGATAATTTCCCCCGATGTCTCAAGTAGCATTTAATAAATAATTGAATCTTGAATCATAAAATAAATTTTTACATAGTTGTACACACATGATTATCAATTCAAATTTCTGTCAAATATTATGTATTTATTCCAGCTATGTGTAGATTATTATAGTTAAAGCAGTTTTAACCATAAAAGTTTACTCTGATTCTGGAATAAGGGGTTTGAATTAGAGATGTTTGCAGCTGTGGTGTTGCTGTAGGTCCTAACCTAAAATCATGGCTCAACAAGATGGGGGCTTGGTTTGGTGACAAAATAATGTGGCTGGACCAAAGAAATGGCTTGCACATTGCTTTTCAATGTTTTGAAAAAAAAAAAAAAAAAAAAAACAATGAAAAAACCCATATAGTGATAATTCATCCAGCATACACAGGTTTTTGCTATTCATGGTATTTATGTAAACTGTACATTGTCCTATCACTTTAATTTTGTGAAGTACGATACTAATTAACGAACATGACTTATAACTAATTTTCTCTTTGGTTACTATTAATTGTCATTATCATTTTAAGTAAATATTTGTTGTTGATTTGGATTCATGTCAAGGGAGTTTGAAGTTTGTGTAGTGGTAATTATCTCTAAACAAAATTGTTTTGGTATGCATTATGCATAGGAAATTGGAAGGCAAATGTTCAGAGCAAATGCTGACCAATCAATCTTAAACAAATAATTCTTGAATGTCGATCTTAAGTTAAATGTTTTATGAAGATGCATCAGACCAATCAATAGATGAGGTGAGGTCAGGTTATAGATGAGGTGAGGTCATGTTGTTGAGAACCAGGATGCTGTAGCATGTATCATGTGACCTTTGTATAATAGATAGGCCAGGTTATTAACAGACAGTGACGTGATAGAATAGCTTTCATAACTTAATCAGCCCATAGAATTATTGGAATGAATAAGGATACAAACAAGATTCAGATGTATTAAGGTAATATTATGACTGTAGATGAATCTTATAAGTATAGGCCCTACATTCATATAGGGTTACTGTAAAAATAGATGGTATATTAAATATAATAATACTTTACATTTTGAAAATTTTTACATCCATTTTAGTTTTAAAAATTACTTTTGTTTTTGGTAGTACAAGTTTAATGTTTTAATATTTAGCATCTATGGTATTTGATGAAGAATAAGAGCATTTTTCTGTTTTGGTATATACCTTTCTTACTCCTGGCAAGATTGTACATTATTTTACCAAATAAATATTATTATTAATATTATTACTTTTACAAGTCTGTATTTAAGAGCCATCGTACCAATAAATTAGGAGCAAAAAAAGAATATTTTGATTTTATAGAGATTTAAAAATACCAAATATTTTTTGTACAATTATATTAATATTATCCTATAATTTGGAATTTTGATAGAATAGATTTTGTACTCAATCTGAATGTTGAAAACAAAATTAGATAGTCTTTTAGTGTTGTCTTTGTCATATGCACTGTACATATGTTGTTCTGTCGAAAGTGATCAATGCGCCACTGAGCAGAATTACTTTTTGGAAATGTGACCGGCTCTGGCAAAACCAGCTGTTTGTAGGAAAAATCCAAACTTGGGTTTTTAGTGTTATTACATTCTGCTCGAGTCAAATTCTTCTTTAAAACCGTGTTTATATGATGGAAATTGGTTGAGTATTACTATTAGCAAAGTTTATGAATATTTAATTCATTGGATGTCAGCCATGGTGATGTATTTTTTGAGAGAACATCTTCCAAAGATTCCAAAATCAAGTTTATTATTAAGATTTGTATTTTAAAAATAATTTTAATATACTTTTCTGTTAGATCTAGTAATAGATATTGTGCTAAATTACACAATGTCTTGTAAAATTACTGTAGGCTTAGAGCTCAGTGTAATTTGAAATCAAGAGTCTGTGAATGTATGTTTATTTTTGCATAACTTGCTCATATAGAGTACCACAGTCGTGGTTTTTTTTTTTTCTTCTTTTTTTTGACTTACCAAAAAGGGGGAACCGGGGCCGTGCCGGCCCCATCTAAATCCGCCCCTGAGGAGGTCCATTGAAGCAGTATGCTACCAAAAATGTATCAGTTCCTATAGTGATCCTTGTGATTGATATTCATTTCATTCAGAAATTTATTAGAATTGATTTGTGCTATATATTTTCATTATTAACTTGTATTGCAATGTTTTTAAGATCAAGAATTGTACTACATTTTAAATATTTAAATGTTTGTATGTGACATTTCCTGATGATATGCTTTACAAAATACTGCATTGGCTAACTTTCAATTGATAATATTCTTTTTATTTTAGTCAACTAAAAGGCGTTGGCATAGTGGACCAGCACAAGAGTCAACTACAAGCCCAGGCAGGGCGATGCAAGCAACACTTGCCCAGAGCAAGTCCGTCGGTAAGAATGTAAACTGTTTCTTAAAATCTTGTATGAATGCTATCATTCTACTATTTTATTATTTTAAGTCAAGTATACATTTTCAGTATTTATTCCAATAATTTCCCCTGGGCGTTTATTGTTGAGAAGAGTTTTTGATTGGCCATTTATTCGAGGGAGACGTTTGTATGGTTTTTTTTAATGTAAAATGGATACATACTCAAATAAACGGCCCTTAATTTCTCTATAAATTTGGAACTACAACACATGAACTGTCTTAGTTAGTGATCATAAAGACTTTAATTGATCCCAACCAGGTAGAAAGAATGTATATTCTACTGCAGTAGAATATTATTAGAATGTGTTGAGAATGATGTTGCTTCCTTATATGTTTACAGTCATTTAGGGGGCTTTTCTTTGAGAAAAAAGGAGGCATTTATTGTAAATTAGGCTCTAGAGTGGGAATTTATTCGAATAAATACGGTATTTATTATTCTCCTGTATTAATGTTTCTTCATAACAATAGAGCAAATACCTAATTTAGCATTTTTTTTTTATTCCGATTGAATCATAATGCTTATTGTTTTATACAAGCAGCAGTATTTCTTGATATTCATTGTATCTGATATTTATTATGCAATGGATTGCCACAAGGGATACAGAAGTGCTAAAAATAGTTATTATTCAATTATAATATCAAGGACAATGATAAACAATGAATGTTCAGATATGAAGACACTTATTCTTAAAACTCTGTTCATGTATTTGTTTTTTGCTTTACTGTACCTAAAGTGGTAGTCTCAAGTGTTACATGATTTTGAGGGTGAGCTCAAGGAAGTGGGGGTGTCGAGATGCTGTCAGGGAGACCTCCCCCACCATTGAAACCCCTAAATTGTCATAGTTTAGTTGCCAAACAACATCCATATGCTGTCGGCGGGATATTGGGCCCTGTCAGGCAAATCCTTGAGCCACCACTGGGCCCATGCCCATTGACTTGTATTCATTAAATATATTGATTCATGTAAATATCACACTTGAGACTTCCAATAAAAACAATGTGTTTCCCATACAAAACTGCTACCAAATGCCTTTATTTATGCCTGCACATTTAATTTTTTATTAATGTATATCATGCTTTATATTTTTTATGCAATCTTTAATCTCAGATTTCTTGTGTAAATTAATGATGATAACTTGAATTCTGGTACATAAACTAAAACAGGTATCTAGCTAATGGTAGTGGGAAACAAATTTTGCAATTTTACTCTTTACTTTTTTTTTAAAACCTTTTCAGATATAAAAATAATTTAGGGTCAAACAAACATGTTCCTAGTCATTTTGGTCCACAAAACTCCAATTCTATGGCACCCAAAAGTTTGAATAGAATTCACCTACAAAGCGCACTATGCTTGAGCATAGGCCATCTGTGCGTGGCAAATAGTATTTAGCCACGGTTTCACTGTTGACATGTATATAAATGCGAACAGCAGTACGATTGTCTCGGTAAAATTACCCTTTGTCACCGTCAACTCTAATCCAAAGGGAACATGGCTTTTGTATCATGGTGTTCAGTAGCAAATAGCAAGAGTAACGTAATCTATTGAAATGCTGTAGAAATTTGAATAATATTTAGACACATTTTTACACATGCTGTAATAGTTCTAATGTTCTAGTAGTACTATATAAATTTAATGTCTTTTTCAGACTTTCTTAAAAAAACATAGCTGTTAGGGTTTATATTAGGCTTAATACTGAGTACCGTTGCTGATTTTCTTTGCTTATTCAATCAGAAGATCAAACCCTGCGAAAGTGTATATACCAAAGTTTTTCCCATATGTTAAAAAAATTATTGAGTCTCACTAAATATCATATCATAGGTTTAACATGTATATGCTACTTTTGGTTCCAGTAGTCTACTTTGGATGCTGGACCTTGAATTAAATCAGAATTAAACAATAGCACCCTAGAAAACCTAAATTTTCCTTAAACTTAAAGAAGTTATCTTTTGAAACAATACAAAAATTACTCATCATACTGTACAGTACTGTAGGTTAAGTTGAGTGATAAACTACCTGCCATTATGTAACATTGTTTTATAGCTATAAATATCATAGACAATGTCTAAGGTAATTATTTTTTGACAAAAATGTGTTTTTGAAGACAGTAAATTGGTTATTATTAATTATAATTAATAATTATTGTCATTGATATCGTCATCACCATCATCGCTGACCTCATTACACTGAGTGGAAAAGCCTGCTTTCGGCTCGACAATTCCTTTCTGAAATTTCAACAAACACCAACTGTTGCCATGCACAGTTGCCATGCAGCACCAGCTATCAACAGTCGTAAGTGTAAACCAGGTATATCACAGAGAGTGATGCGAGCTCATAAGCAGCCTGAGCAGGAGACACAAGCGTAAACATAATACCATAGTCACTTGTTAGCTTGTAACGACTGTTATCGTATTGATTGTAATTAACAATTTGCAACTCTTATGTAGAACAAGTTTGTCATATCATTTCTCTCATCTCTCCAACACTGCCGCACTAAAGGTTCACCGCGCAGCTATTTGGCAGCCATGAGGATGCGTGAGTATGTTACCGAGCCTGAGCGACGTCGTCCACAGCAGCAGTGGTCCCGAGCCAGGCACTTTTCTGAAGAGGATCCATTCAGTACACCCTTTCACCCTGTAAGATGCTTGAAAGTATAAACTAATATTTTTCCTTGATTTATTCCGATTTGATAACAAATTTTTTGCTTCTATTATAATTTGGGACAATCTAATCAGGTTTAGATTTTGCATTTTGATAAATAGTAAATTGTTTACCATTTTCAGCACAACAATAATTAAATTTAATGTCCACATTGTTAAACTGTATTACTTTCCTAATTTTCTGTTTATTGCTTCACATTTATAAATAATTTGTTTCCAGAAATCCTCAAGTGTACGTAACTGAATAAATAATAGTACTATGTTTAGAAAATATTTTATATAAAAAAAAATTTATTTAAATCTGTTCACTACAATTTACTTTCAGTAAAAAAGTTAAATGATCAGCTTTCTTTCTCAGTTGAGATCTTATAAAATACTGTAGATATTTTTAAAGCATATTTGGGTTATTTTTTATTAATTTCTTATGACTTTCAAACTTTCTCTCTCAGTTGAGGTCTTAAAACAAATATTTTTTAAGCAAATTGGGCTTTTAAAAAAATTAATTTCTTGTATGACTATCAAACATTTTACCATTCCAGAGGTCATATTCTGAATCTTATGTGAGAAAGAAAGGTCAGTGTAAATATAGCAACAACCCCAGTTTGTCCCCTCTCCCTTCTTGCTTTGCTTTCTTGCATCTGCTCAGTAGAGTTATTTCAGTTTAGTGGAACCAATTCGTCTCTTTTACGGCAAAGTGGCAATTGTAAAACAAATAAATATATGAGAGATTGTCAGTAAACTCATCAATAATTATGGATTGCAGATCCACATTGATTTACAGTATATGACTAACAAAATGCACATTTTTTATAGTTGCAATCCATAAATTAAATTATATAATAATTTTTTAATATAATTTCTATTTTTGGCATTTGCCACTTTGTCAAAGGGACAGTTTTTTTACTTCATGTTGACTGTTCATATCCTAATTCATACTAATTTTTTTGAACACAAAGTTATGAGAGCAGTCCGTGAATTTGTTTTGTTGCATTTGTCATGATTCAGTTTAACCAACAGAACTCATCTTCGCAGGGTTTGTCCAAAAACACCACACCAGGTCCAGCACCTCCAGTTTCCATAATAACATCAGTTAATGTCACTCATTGTACAAATGTTTGTTTGTGATTTCAGCTCTCCAGTTCAGAATATTCATTAGACAGAATGGATATAGATTCAGGTAATGTGTAAGCCCCCAGTACTCTGTGGAGCACACTTAAAAGACAAACCTGCTATTGGTAGGGATTCGAAAGCCTTCGCTTCTGGAATAATCAGTCAAATTTTATAGTGGATTCTCTTTCTATGGATAACATAGACCAATTTCAGGAATACAATTTGATTGTGCTTGACAATTCCTAATGGAAAAATATTAGTTCATAATGCTATCCTGTTCCTGGTGGTTGGAATAAATTGCCCAATCGTGCTGGTACACTTTGCTGAATAATTATTATCCATAATTATTTATTATTAATAACTACATATTGATATTAATGTATTATTTTGAACAATTTAAAACAAATGATAAGGGTCTGTCCACACCCTAGAGTTTCATGTGGCAAGTTCCTGTGATGTGCCCATGTATGGGCATGATGTTGTCATACTACACCCAAATATGGCAATATCAAATTTATTTGTCACATAAAATTGTGTGGACAGAGTTTAAAGATATGCTGTCTGTGGTTGTGGTAAAATTGTTGAAAATTTCTGGAGAGTTTCTCATGTAAAGACTCAAATTTAATCAACATTTCATTGTAACAAAAATCAAACCAATTTAGTTTTTACTGATAAACAGGCTACTATTCTGCACAATTAATTCAATACCAGCTATAAGTTTATGGAAAGAAGGAATGATATGTGTCATGTTAAATTCCAACTGTAGGAGTAACGATAAAAATCGGCAATAAAACGTAACGCACAGCATCATTGCGCTAAAATGTGTATGAGTGTGCTTGAATATCATAGCTGCCAAAGAAATTTGCTCAGTAGTCACATTGTTCCAAAACAAAGGGGCAGAATTGAACAGTGGAGGGATATTCCCGTTCGAGAGATGCACTGTGTGATTTTGAGTGCACATCAGCCAGTTGTGTATTTGGGCATGGTTTTTGACTCCTTGTCCATCAACATTTTCACCTGAGAAACCATGGCTTGAAAGTTCTCAAACCAGTGCCAATGTTACAGCTTCTTAAGTTGCGCTGCCCCTGCCTCACCACTAGAACACTCACTTTTCAAAGTAGAGTATACATATATAATGAGGTTCCCACTAAAGGGTATTCCTATCACTTTGTGTTATGCTCTGGCCACATTGTCAGGTTTTCTGTGAAATGTGATTGGTCCATATGAGGGCATGGTGCTGTCTCTTATACACATCTAGATGTGTATAAGAGACAGCCATTCAGTACACCCTTTCACCCTGTAAGATGCTTGAAAGTATAAACTAATATTTTTCCTTGATTTATTCCGATTTGATAACAAATTTTTTGCTTCTATTATAATTTGGGACAATCTAATCAGGTTTAGATTTTGCATTTTGATAAATAGTAAATTGTTTACCATTTTCAGCACAACAATAATTAAAACGTTTGGTACAGATAGGATCACTCTAGTACTATTGCCTGTGGTGGCCAACATGTTAAATTGACAAGGAACTCTTTCTAATGTTCAGTTTTTTATTCCTAATAGTTTTAACGTAAACAATTAAGATATTGAATTTTACTTTTCAAGATTTTTAATCTCAACACAGACAATAAATTTAAGCTAAATAAATCTAATATTTGTTATTCCTATAAATTCAAATATAGATATATTTACAATCTTACCCAAACATATAATATAATAATAATAATTATAATAATTTATAGAATAATATCATATTTATTCAAAGTATTACCCATTGACTGAGTAAAACAATTGAAACACAATTTTGATTTCAAAAAATAATGTTCTGAACTGAAAGTTAATTTTGAATACTGTATTCATCTTTATGTATTATAATATCAAATATTTCATCTCCATTAATAGTGCTAAATATATATTCAGTAGGAATTTATATATTAACAAGGTTCTTGCTTTCTAATTATATATGTATTTATATAATATTATATATTTATAATATATAATCGGTACTTATATAATACATATACAAATATATGGACAATCAGTGCTTGAAAACATCGCTTTGAATATAGACATATAAATATTATGGGTTCATACATGTGATATTTAGATTTTTTAATTATTTTTAATAGTTGTTGTTATATATTTATAGCAAGGTGGACCATGTATTAAAGGCTGTCATTTCCAACCCAGTATATACTAACTATAAACCACCCTCTCATCCTCACATTAATTTGGAAAATTCAGTATGGATGAGTTGACAAAATATTTGGTTATATAAGTGCAATTATGATTAATAGATATATGTAGTATTTAATTATTGCATGCAATAATGTTGGAAAAATATAAACAGAAAGTAAAGCCATCATGAACACTAATTTAATCAGATAAGAACGTATTCCAAACCCATTTACAGTACCCGTTGACACAACATTTATAGTTTTAAAATATATCCTGTAAGACTTTTAAGTCTGTAATAATATTAGTATCTGTAAAAAAAAAAAGTTACTGTTATGTTTCTGTTGAGCCTGTGAAATACACCATTCTGCTTTCTGAATTTACCAAGCTGGCATTTATCAGTGGCGGATTCAAAGGGGGAGGGGCCCAGCCAGCCTGCACCACTCCCCCTAAATTTCTGAAATCTTTTCTGGAGAAAAAAGAAAAGTATATTAACTTTATGTCTAAGAATGCCATTTCAGGCCGTCTAGAGTTGTCATAATCATAAATTTTCTTGATTCTGCCCCTACCATGGTGGTCTGGACCACTAATCTCTGAAAATCCCTTCCCGGGGCCCCCTCTATTTTGAATTCCTGGATCCGCTACTGTTTATCAATGAGTCTCATTCTTTCCTAAATTTATGCTTTAGTTTTTATCATTTTTTAAGCTTTGATATATTTTCTCACAAGTTTGTGCTTTGGCTGCTGCTTCTGTGCTCCCCATGTCACTGGTTATGTTGGTCCATTGCATGTCACTGGTTTTCTCTTAACTATGATTTCTTTCAAGATTTTTTGAATAGCTAATTTTTTATTCACGAATGTTTAAATTTAATTCCATGCATTATTTGTTTTTGTTTGCTTAAAAGTTTCAAACATTAAAAATACCATTGCTTGTTGCATTTTTGTTTGAATTGTCTTATCGACTTTCTTTGATTTATCTTAATGGTTGATTAAAGTTATATATAATGTAATAATGTAGTAATTCACTCTTAGATTTAAAAAAAAATAATCTTAGATTCCTTTTGAGTGTTTATTTAAAGTACAATTTACTCTCAAAATCATTAAAAAAATGTTTAGATAAAATCTGCATACAGTGGTGTCGCCAACTTTTGGAACTGGTATCCACTCTATGCACTCTCGTACAAAAACATGAAGGAATATAATAGGCCGAAACATTTCCAAACCATTGTTGGTATATCAAAAGACACTACACTTGTGTCATGTATGACATCGATCAAGTGTTGGTTCGCAAGACAAACCACAACATAAACAAAAAACTGCAGCAATCAATTACATGGGCCCAGAGATAACTCAGTCTCTGTAAGGTAATGCCAGGCCAGTGTATTTTCAATGTTTAATACTGTCGGGGCCCCATTGAATGACACTATGTATTATAGTTTTATTATATTTTTTTTAAACTACAATGTCGGGGCCCTGGCTGTCCGTCCCCCGTCAGCACCCGTGCGTGACGCTACTGTCTGCGTAAGGCAAAAACCTTCCTGTATTAGGTTTGAGTGAATATTAATATATTTGGTTTCTGTTATTGCACTAACAACTAACATTTACACCTCATTCATTAGCTTTTTTGCCATCTAATCTTTTGCAAATTAGTTTTATTAAAACTCTATCATATCACCACATGTACCATTCACTAGCTATGTGAATGAAATCTAAATTGGCTGATTCGAACATTGCTTTCTTTTGCTTTATTTGGTTGGTAAGTTTTACATATTGAAATATCAATAAGAAGTGTAAATGCTAATGTCAAAGGTTTTGAATTGCAAATTCACAGAGGAAGAAGAGCATACGTTCATCCGATTCATGAAAGCTCACAAATGCTATGAAATCATACCAACCAGCTCGAAGCTAGTTGTCTTCGACACTCAGCTCCTGGTAAGTCAAGTACTCATAATAGAGGCTGGGGGTGGAGGGGAGTGTGAAGGTGAAGTGAGGTCCTCGATTAAGTGAGGGGATGTCCGGTGGCGTGGGTTCAGAGCGTTGTGGTGTTTGTGAGCGTCTTGGTTTGCTTTGCACGACTTTTCAAACCAGTCTTGTAATCTTGCTTAGTTTGCAGTTTATTTTAAGTATTTAATTTGATTGATTTATTTATTTATTTAACTTTCGTTATATTGGATGGCACGCTCAATGTAAAGGCACTGGTTTTCGTTGTGGTCCAGTTACATAACATATAATACAAAAATTGAAAAGAAAAATTTAGGAAAATTAAACAAAGGACTTAATTACAAAAATAGTTGACTTAATTACAAAAGTAGATTACTTAATCACAAAAATAAAGGAGAGACCAATTAATTCAGAGCATTTTTAAATGTGTATTGGTTAAAATTCTGGAAATCCATAGTTATATTGCTAGGTACAGTAGTTGGTTCCACTTCATGGATGCACGGTAATGAAAAGTTTGTTTTCCTTGACATATGTTCCATTGTAGAACTACAAGATGATTATTTGTCTGGCTTCTAGTGTTTTTATCATTTTCAAGGAAAACAAACATATTAATTAGATTGGCTGGTGGGCAATAATGTAATTTGAGTAATGTGCAAATCCCTTTTATAGTTAAGAATTCAATTTTATATATTTGTTGCTTACATTTTGTTCTGTTTTGGATGCACCGTTAGGTTTTGTTTACCGTGTGCCACTGTTATGAAAGTGTAATCCAATAAATATTGTATTGTACTATTTTATTTGGCAACCCAATTTTGGCTCATGCCCATAGTTTGAGAACTGCTGCTACGAATTGTTATAGTGGTGGGACTGTCCAATATTTTTTTGCAGACTGTTTTAAATTTGTGGAAATTTGCTACATGCAAAATTGCTCTAAGTTCATGTTGGTTTTTGTTTTGTTTTTGATAGGTAAAGAAGGCTTTTTATGCATTAGTTTACAATGGTGTGCGTGCAGCTCCTTTATGGGACAGCACTAAGCAAGACTTTGTGGGTAAGTTCTGGTAATCTGTGTGTGGCCACATCTGAAGTGAAAATAATTATGTCAGTGATATAAATTGTAAATGATACAATCACATTTCAAGCTGATTTGATTGCAAAAAGTAAATCAGATTTATTAAATGATAACTTGGCTACAATAACCCTGTTGAAAAGTGATGATATATACATTATATCTGAAGAATTTCTTAATAACATTGAAACGTTAAATGACTTACTGTATAATAAGAATGAGCAAATCCAGTAACTTGTAAATCAAGAAAAGTGTTGACATTAATATTAATACCGACTTTGCTATTTTGAAGCAATGTAAAGTGGTATTACTGTATGTATCTGTTATTTGGCAGCGTTTAGCTGCAATAAAACAATTTCATTTTAATGGTCATTTCTAAATTAAGGATACCAAATAAAATGAGATACTTGCATAAATTATTAAATGCTTTACTTTTAATTTCATTTCTTCTTTACTTTTTTCCTGTAACTTTCTAGGGATGTTGACAATTACAGATTTTATCAGCATATTACAGTACTATTACACGTCACCATATGTAAGTTAATCATATTTCTTCTCGTTGTGAAATTTGCACCACTGAAGAAGTATTTAATTCTCACAAATCGCAAAGTTTATTTTTCTAATATTGGTTGATATCAGTGCAACTTTTGAAAGACTTTTGTAGTAATAGATATTTCTGGTTAAACTACATGACATAACAAAACAATAATAATAATAATAATTAATAATTATCAAAACAAAATTCTGTAATAAGCTGTGATGAAAAACTATCTAAAGGCAAAGTGTTAGCCAAATTTGAGCAGCTGTTAGCCAACATGAATCTGTAATTAATGCCTAGCCACACCTGTATTCTAAAGATTTTTGTGTATAGATGTGATATAATGTAGACCAAAAGCTAATTGAATCAGCTAAGTATAATTAATATTTAGCTATGTATTGATAACCTAATAATTGACTAAGTTGGGACTACATAAATTATATTTATTTGCTATTTATACTTTTTACAGGAAAAAATGGACAAGTTAGAAGAACATAAGATAGCAACATGGAGAGGTGAAGATCTAGAAACTAAAATTTGTTTGTCGAAAATTAATTAATTTCTGTATTTCACATACAGTACAACCTCGTTTTTACTTATCTCAGTTATATGAACCATCAGTTTTACGTACGCCTCATACGGACGATGACGTTATCAAATCCCCCAAAATACTCAAAACAAATGGCCTTTTTCAGGGCCACCATAATGTAAAAAGAGATTTATTAATTTCGTCAGTTTACTATTTCAATAATTTGACAATAAACAAATTATATGCAAAGTATTTGCATTCAACAGCAACGTTGATTGTGTCTAATTAACACGCTGTATAAACCATGTGGACTAAGCAAGATAAACAACTACCGTCATTGCCCAGAATAATTTCTTTCCTAGCTTTATGTAAAAAACTTGTATGATCGAATTTTTTACACAAAGTTTACTAAGCTGGGTAGGCATAATTTTGCATATGAACGGTAATTGTTTGGCTCAGTGCAGAGCACATGGTAGCAAGCATGCCCAAACACTGCAGCTCTTGTTTAGAATAGCCATGAAAGGAATTCCCAAGTTATAACCTTTGTCGTATAGGTAATCTTACAATATTTTCATGTTCTTAAGTTAAATAAAATATATAAAGTGATGAATTAATAAACTGACACATGGTTTTATTCGTAGGCCTACAGTTTTAGGCAAGGTAACATCATTCGTTCATAACATACGTTTATTGAGTTTTATGTACGTATTAGCTCAAAGGTCACCTCAAATTTAACCCAACCTCGATTTTACGAATTTTACGAAAATTGAGGTTCTATAGTAGGTACCAGTGAAGAAAGCAAATGTGATGGTGTCAATAATTATTTGTAATGGCATTCTTGTTGTGTGTTTACATCATAACTTTCTCATTACTGGCATTCATATTAATATTTAGTGAAAATATAAACATCCTCTACTGTATTGTCTATGATTGGCTGTGATGATGTATTAGTACTGTACACTTGACTGGTAGATGAAACCTTCAAATCCCACATTAAGAGCATCATTTCATTATTCATTTCCTTTTCATTAGATGTGTTGAAAGGCAAACAGCGCCCTCTTGTGTTCACACACCCAGATGCAAGGTCAGTTGTTTTTTAATCCCCTTTTATTATATGAAATTTAACACATTTTATTCTGTTTTTTTTTTTTGTAGATGTTTTGAATAATACATACAGACCTTTAGTTCACATAGGTCCAGATGCGAGGTAAGGTGTATGAATGTAATTACACACATGCTTAAATCACACGTGTGTAGAAATCACGTACAGTATCTGCCAGTGCTGTTGCCATGGTCATCACCTGATATTCATCCGTTTAAATTGTTTATGTTTTGTCTTACTGTATATTACATAAGGCCACTCTCCCATACAATGAGTCATATTGCACCATGTGTTGATTAACTTTCAGATTCTGGTGCAACAAGACACATTTTGTGGTGATATTTGATCATGTATTTAGTGCCTTTAAATTAATGCACATCACTTATTTATTGTGTCACACAACATAAACTATTTGTTTCATCCCTATGTACAATCATTTTATTTTTTTGTGTCATAAAAGATACAATATTTGTGTCGTATCCAATTATACAATCAAATACACTATGACATATTCTGTGTGCCCTCTAATGGGAATGTTTGATCAAGACGTCATTAGGCAAGATGTCGGACTGTATGGCTTTCTCGTGAAGGTTTCACCATTGGCATGCATGCACTGTTTTCATCCTTGATGTCTTGAAATATTAAAATTAGCTGGAAATTTTCATTTTGATCTAGAAAACAGCTTTTAGGTATAGCATATTTATCTTTGTATTCATACACTAGTTCTTGCTTTTTATTATTCACTCATTTTCACCAAATGTTCTCTTCCTTGAGAACTGTAATCATTAAATGGGCATTGCCATGTCAAAACCAGTATCAGTGACCTGAAACAGTGACTTTTTAATATTCATATTCTCAATATAAGTTTAAACTGATAGGTCATCATTCACTTGAATCGATATAATAATGAGTGGAATTATTACTGCTTCTCTGTACTAAAGTATACAATACATCCACATTCTTATACTTATTAGTCAGTTTAACATTTAGCGACAGTAATGCTGGTTTTGGGATGGCCAGCCTCGTATGTTAAAATTTTAGCTTGCCTCTAAAACCTAGAAAATATTGAATTGAATTTGAAAACATATATTAGGACCATGGAATAAACTTAAATGTATCGTTATGCCTGGCACTCTCTGCCCAAATATAAAGGTTAAAGGTTATTCATTTATATTCCTCTCCCTGTGAGCGCTAGACAATGCGACACCGTCTGCTCATTGTCAGTGGCATTCTGAATAGATTGTCATTAAAACATGCGCGCATCGTGGTGTTGTGGTCTCCGTAGAATTGCGTTGGGTGACAACCGTAGAGCGGAGTGAGTGTCCGACTTTAGCACTAAAATGTGTAACCTAATTTATGCTGTCCTCTTGAGAGCAGCTTAGCTCAGTCGGCTAATCTGGTGGTAGCCACTGTGTGTGCGCTGAACCGTGGAGATCTCTAGGTCCCCAGTTCAATTCCCATCGCTGACTCTCCTTGGGTTTCAGCTAGAGGGCTGAAATACAAGTTACATAGCGCACCTTCTTTCGGATGAGACGTTTAAGCCGTTGGTCCTGTGTGCATTTATGGCCCATGTGCACGTTAAAGAACACAGTACACTTTTTGGAAAAGAGTAGGGGATTGTCTCCCGGTGTACTGTCCAATCACTACCAGAAGGACCCCACTGGAAATAAGTCTTCTTCTAGACTTTCGTGGGCTATCCTTGGTGTTTACACCGAATAAATCCATTCCAATCCAATCCTTTAAGTTCTGTTAATATGGATAGTATTTTACAATAGGTTCTTTAACAGAGAAGCTGATGATTCAGTACAATAAAAAACTTCAATTGTAGGCACTTCAAAAGGATCAAATGTTGAATCGTCGTGAAATTCAACTGTTTACTATATAACCACAATGAAAAATTTCACAAGCTTTGCTCATGTGATATAGTAAGTCTGGTGCTAAGTATCAACAATTTGCACATATCACACAGAAATGAACTATTCCTACAAACATTAAGAATTTTTCACTACGTTGTCAGATATTTACAATTTTATTAGTAAATCCTTTTTGTACATTTTTCTGTCAGTTTGTTTGAGGCTGTGCGGATGTTGATACAGGAGAAGATTCATCGGTTGCCTGTACTCGATAAAACAACTGGTAACGTCATCTACATTCTTACTCACAAACGGATCCTTAAGTTCCTATCACTTCTGGTAAGATCAGTACTTCTATTTTTAGTTTATAAAAATATCCTTTAATGCATTTTACTTCTTCAGTATAGCCTCATAGAGGGCAGCATGCTCATAGAGGGCACTATAGTTCTTATAGAGCAGCAAAGCTCATTGAGAGTGGCGTAGCTCATATCATAGAGATATTTTCTCTATGCTCATATAAAGCTGCATAGCTCTTGCCAATTTGTAGTTGGCCCTTAATATGCTGCCAGCTCTTTTCTTATTCAGTCAACCAGAGCACCAGCTGATAACATTACCTCTAATCCCATGCCAGCTAATTATTTAACAAGGTCACTGTAATGCTTATTTTTGATAGTGTATATTATTTGCTCAATAATTCATAAACTATTGAGAATTATGAAAAATATAAATCTAAAAACAATTGCTCAGCATTGGTTGTTTTGTATATATATGCTTTTATTATTGCATTTTATTTATCATTTAGTGAATAAATGATAGGAATTTTTTGTCATTAATGACAATTAGTATATTTGGCCTAGGCCTATTAGCAGAGTATGCGTTTTCACAGTCAAATTACTTGCTGATAAAAATCAAAATAACGAATCCTAGTCCTACCTACATTTACTAACATTACCATCACAGTTCAGGCCTAGCTAGGCCTAGGCTCTGAACATTGTTTTCTATGTCAGTTTTTAAGCCTTATCCAGCACAGCTGTAACAACTACAGAAAAATATAGTTTCTCAGCATTTCAAAACATCATATTTTCAACTTCAAACTCAAACTTCTAACAAAACAACCTCCGGCAAGTTTCACATCAAATGTGCAGAAATTCATTGGCTTTCCTATCCAGTAAACACTATTTGTGTGTAGTGTTAAAACAGCTGCTCTATGGTCATTTTTTGGAAGATCTTCACCAATTCGCATTTATGGTAGCATTTATGTGAAACTGGCATGCACACCAACTGTGCGGTGTTCGCATTTATGCGAAGATGGCAGCGTAAGGGTTAACTCAACAGCAACTCATAGAGAGCAGCAAAGCTCATAGAGATAGCTCGTAAATAATTAGCACAGCAGCATCACTCAGAGATCAGCATGGCCTCATTAAGGGACGAATAATGGCAATCGTGTAAATGTTTCTATTTTATATACTGGGTATATAAGATTTTCATATTAATTTTATGTACTATTTGTAATTAAGTTTTTGTATTTGCTATAAACGTTACAATCATAAGATATGTTTTCTTTTATAGTAGGCATTTATTATTCATTAAATATATTGTTACGATTTTGTTTTTTGTTTTTTTTTTAATATAGAAAAACGAAATCAAACGTCCAGCTTTGTTGAAAAAGAGCATTAAAGATTTGGGAATAGGAACCTATTCAAATATAGCAACTGTAAGTAAATCCCGGTATCATTGAAAGTGCGTAGCTTAAAAAAAATATGCGTTCACAGTACTATTACATATGGCAGTGAAACTTGGCCTATCAAAGTTGAGGATGCCCAACGATTATACGGAAATGAAATGTCAATGATCTATTGGATATGTGGTATGGCCTTGATGAGGAAAGAAAGTCTACTTAGGAGCTAAGAAGAATTAGTGGTATAACCTCAATTCTGGATGTAATACGGCAAAGACGCTTACATTGGTTTGGTCATGCAGAAAGGAGAGGTGAAGACAACTGGCTAAGGAGGGTCCAACATCTTGTGGTTAATGGTAACAGTGGACGTGGTAGACCCTGCAAGACCTGGGCTCGCGTGATCAGAGATGACCTCCATGCAAAAGGATCGAAAAAAAGCTTCCACAGAATCGTGCAGAATGGAAAGCTGCTATTACAAGTACAGTCTAACCCATGATTGCATGGAATAATATTAGACTATAAACTGGTAGTGATGATGCCGTACCTCATACATAGATTCTGCAAGGCCTAAAAAAGGAATTAAAAGAGTACCCACCAAGTAGGCCTATGGCCTAGGCCTACCTCTGTTCGTAGAGGTCGCAGTCCCCCTGTACGCCTGTGCGTGTCATACTTTTACACAACGATGTTAAGTGGGACCTAGAGATTACAACACGTCAGGGCAAAAAAGTCACATAAGGTGACTGGTTTCCCCGGGAATTTATGAACTATCATTCAAACTATGTCATAGGAGTGATAGTTGAAGTTATTACCCACTTTTTAACCAATCAGATGCCTGGAATCTATGTATGCAGTATATACAGTAATAATTATTATCAACAATAAGCACTTAGAAGATATGAAAACCATTACCATTGTTGCATCATTGTTAACATTGAATTTTTTATTATGTATTGTAATGCGTCTATGATCAATTTCATTGGACAAACTGCAATTATGACTGCTTTTATTATTATTATTATAAATATTATTTAAAGGCCTATCATTATTATATTATTGTTATAATAATAATAATAATAATAACAATAATAATATTATATTATTATTGTTATTATGACCATCAACGTTCATATGTTTCTTTTTTAACATACAGGCTAGGAAAGACACTCCACTCATCACTGCCCTTAATACTTTTGTTGAACGAAGGGTATCAGCTCTGCCAGTGGTTGATGAGAATAACAGAATTGTAGACATTTATGCCAAGTTTGATGTTATTGTAAGTTCACGACTGCAACAGTTTTATGTACATTTTGCTATTTATGGCCCTGTCAAACCTTGACGATTTAGCCAGCGTAAGCCGACGTATGAAAAAATTGGCGAATACGCTGGCGTACGTCGAATAGGTTATTGGTAAGTTTTGTATAAGTTAAGAGCACACTGAAGTTTTGTGCATGCACAAAACTTTTCAACGTATGCCAGCATATGGCTCATACATTCCGCATACGCAGGCCATAAGTTGTAGGTAAGTTAAGCGATTGTTGACACACATTACTTATAAGTTACTCAAAAATTTGAAATATTTCGAGATAATTTCTAGTGTACCCAAAACGTATTTCTAGCCTACCAGTGATGTGCTTTGAACTTATATATAACTTATAACAAACTTATCTCCAACGTATATTGTGTTCCAGACGACCACGAATTTACTGAACGTGTTTCTATTTTTGTATAATGGCGTATTGGCAATGTTTAGGGGAATATGTATATTAAAATGGGATGATGTCGATACGGTGATTTTGATACTGCGATGTCTAGTGCGGTTATGATTTGAATCGACGAGTTGCATCCTTTTTTATGCTACGTCAGGTGAACGTCAGCGATACGCTGCCGCGCGCTGTGCATAAGGTAGACTATCGTTGGGCATAAGTTGTGAACGCTGGCAACACGCTAAGCATACGTGGTATACGTTTTCTATAAGTTACCAAAACGTTCTATTTAAGTTACTATTATACATTATGTATACGTCTATATACGTTATGAATATGCTATGTATGCGCCAAAAATTGGAAAAAAGTATTGATATTTCAGCGTATGCCAGCGTTTTAGAGAAATTTGGATACGTCGGCATACGCTGACTAAATCGTCAAGGTGTGACAGGGCCATTACATACAATATATAGAGTGTGATACACATTCTTCATTCGGATTATGGTCGTAGCGAGCCAAATCAGTAATCAGTGGATAAACAGTAATTTGTATGGAGCACCAAGCGGGCAGTGTCCAGTGTGTATGTTGGACAAGGTACCAGAGTGCAATATGAACACAGTTTTAATCAATTATCAAATTACTGTCTATTTCACGTACTTTATATTTATGTAAATAGAGAATTATTTGGTTCTTCAATCAATATACAGTATGTCTATTTTCTTACAGAATTGGATGGTACTTTTTAACTCGCCCCACCCTAATTCTTTTGTGAACAAACATGTGTTTGTAATTTGTAATTTGTATTACAACTTTGACTTTTAATATGATTGATACTTGTGTTGTGTTTGTTCTTTAGTGAATGAACATTTGTTATTCTTGAATTATTTGATGTGTTATACTAGCTTGTGTTTTTTTTCTGATTACTAATGTATAACCCATTATCAGTTGCCTTTGCCATTTAAGTTTTATTTCTTTGGTTTATTACAATTAATTAAACTAGAATGTGCGCTTGCTTACCCTCTAGCGTGTGAATTCCGCGATTAGTTTTGATAACAAGAACAGAAAATGAACACTGAATGAAGATAGTATGAACAGAAAATGAACACTGACAGAAGATAGTTTTCATTCTAGTAGTAAGCCCTATGTGAACGTTGTGATTAGTTTCGATAAACAGAACGAAAAATGGCCACTAAAAGAAGATAGGTTGCATGTGTCATGTTATCTCGCTCAGTTATTTTCTTTACGTAATATAAGAAATGCAGTGGTCAGATCATGTTTTATGATTTACAAAGCATGCTTCATGGATGTAGACAATTGGTGTTGAGTTCAGGTGCAGGTGGTTTTAATAGCAATTTCATGTCGTTTTTTATAACAAAATATTTGCCCCTTTATGTTTAATGTTTAGGCAGTGGCCCCTTTTTTAAATGATGCAGTGCCTATCTATACCAACAGCATTAATGCTGTAATAATAATGACAATGATACATTATATATATATATATATATATATATATATATATATATATATAGGGCTGTTTTTTATGTCCATTCACATTTATTATATAGTAAATTTAGTATTGACAGATCCAATGTTTAAATCTGCTTGTGCTCAGAAGAAATATAAAATAAAAATTACACATACATAAATTAATGTTATATGTAATGTCCGTAGAAATATGTTTGTCAGCTTAAAATTTGATCTGAAAATACAAGTACGATGTGAACCACATTGGATTTTAGTGATTTCTCTTTATTTCGAAACATTCAATCAAACAAAACAGGATAAAAAATATATAATTTTCAATAAATTTGTCATAACCTTTCTACAACGGTATAAAAAAGGAAAATATATTGATGAATACGATATGAACGGATATGAATGTTAAGCCTACAGTATACGTATCCCAATCAATCAGTATAGTGCTACTGGCTTTCCGTACATTTTGAGTGCGGCCGCTTTGACTATACTCCCTTGAATCATGGTTAGGTTTGCATTGTTAGAATTTTTTTAGTTAAATAAAAGCATTATGATATGATTGATATTAAAATTTAATAGTGAGTTTTATTTATTTATTTTTAATGTATCAGAACCTTGCTGCTGAGAAGACATACAACAATCTGGACGTAACAATTGAACAAGCACTAAAACATCGGGAAACTTACTTTGAAGGTGTTGCTAAGTGTAAAGCAACTGAATCTTTGGAGACGATCATTGAAAAGATTATTAAAGCAGAGGTTTGTCTATAGTTATGCAGTTACAGGGCATATTTTTTATAATTCCTGAGTATATAAGTACACTTTGCTAGACCAACGTTCCACAAGTTTTTAGGACTACTGTATTTCTCCTAAACATTTCAGGTATCTAACTGCATTACACCCACCTACTGCTGACTTATTGGATGTTGGGATGTATAGAGAATGTTGTGTTAGACCAGGGATGGGCATAAAAATCGGCCAAAGTGAATTTTTGCTTTAACACCGAGGGCCGCACCCAAACTTTGATATTTCCAGTGAGCTTCCAAGAACCCCTCAGATTTAATGTTACATTTTACATATGATCGGTGTCGGGCCGTAAAAAAACAAGGTGTTTTCTAGCCAATGTTGCTTGGCAAATCACTGTTATGCCACACTTTGCCCCACCTGTGTGTTAGACCATCTCATTGAAATTTCTGCTTCTATTTTAAATCATTCTGTAATAATTGAACCAAATTTACATAAACACTTTCTATAGTTTCCTTTTATTAATAAATGCAAATAATTATTTTATACTCAAGGAAAGCTGTGTGGCCCCTTTGATCATATCTATTTTATTTTATGTACATTTTTATGTACACAGTGCATCCTATTAAACAGGGTTGGTGGTACTGTACTGCTTTTTTCAGCTCTTTTTTGCCTCTGTATGTGTCTAAATTGTACTGATAGTAGGCTGTGAAGAAACCTATTGAAGCATCTACAATTATGAAATAGATTTATAGAGAAGTTGCAATTTTTATAGCTACTACATTGTTTTTACTATATAACTATATGTTTCTCTCGTAAAGGTTCATCGTTTAGTTGTTGTCGATGATGAAGATCATTTAGTAGGAGTCATATCTTTGTCTGATCTACTCAATCATTTGGTGCTAAAACCTGCTGGTAAGAAATTCACAATAAAATGTTTTATTTCATATATCCAATGAATAATGTAATTAATCACAACCCTTTGATTATTAGCTCAAATAATTACATCAGTTTCCTGTTATCAACGTAAATATTATTACTACTTTTTGTAGTAAATATTGATTGGTAGCCTGTTTTTTAAACTTAAGTTTTTTTCAGATATACAGTAGTATATAAGCAAGGCAATTCAACGACAGGACACACATCTCCGCTCGCGAACATGGCCCGTACATACAGTTCTTTGATCTTTACTGTGACATTAACAATCTGATACTATTTGCGAGAACAGCCGTCAATTATTAGTCTATGCGTGCCATATTTTATTAACTTTGGGTACTTCGGAATGTCTGTTGCATCTAATTTTATTTGACCACGAGCCTGTTAAGTGTTTCTATAAATTACAATTTGATTCGTGAAAATTTACCAACAAAATGAAAAGTCAAAACAATTAAAAACGATTTTTATAAAAATTCATGTTCTTATATAACATTGAACTGTCATTTTGACAATGTTGGACCAACAAAACAAACATTTAAGTAGATACAGAAAATTTATTTATTTTTTCTGCGAAGTGAGTTTCTTGAACCACAGTACATCACAACATTGATAAAACTAATGTTGAAATTATGAATATAATTTCAGTCTAATGTTAGCGCAAAATATCATTAGGCCTTTGTCATTTCCGCACAATGCGCGATTCCCATGGAAAATAACACAAACATGGGTAATTCGCCACACACTGACATTTAATTGTTTGGTTGCTATGGTTTGACTTTTAATTGTTTGGTTGCTATGGTTTTTGTGATGTTAAACTGATGTTAAGGGCACATCAGTTTTCAAATAAAAACGATTTTTATGAAAATTCATGTTCTTATATAACATTGAACTGTCATTTTGACAATGTTGGACCAGCAAAATGAACATTTAAGTAGATACAGAAAATTTATTTATTTTTTGGCCTTTGTAATTTCTGCACAACGCGCGATTCCCATGGAAAATAACACAAACATGGGTAATTTGCCACACACTGACATTTAATTGTTTGGTTGCTATGGTTTTTGTGATGTTAAACTGATGTTAAGGGCACGTTTAACTAAGTCAAGCGTGTAAAGGCGTGTAGAATGCTAATGCCGAGTTATATTATACTTTGATGTCCCGAGATGTGTGTCCTGTTGTTGAAAAATGCCTTGATATAAGATAGATATTTTATTTTGAAATCAAACCAAAGTGAAATGAAATGTATCATTGTGAATCTGTTACTATTTAAAAAATGCAGCATGCCTTGTAGTTCATAATAGTCTTTTATAAAAACACAAAAAATGTACAATACATCTCAGTCATCCTGTCTATTGTCTTGTATCTTTTGTAGTTTCCTGTATTAGTGGCCAGCCCACCTTTTGCCTTTCTTAGTGTTACCATGCTCATTAAATGTACAGTATAAAAGAAAAGATTTTTAAAAAAAATAAATAAATAAAGGTTTAGTATATGTGGCAAAGACTAGGCAAACCAGTCACTCGTCACAAATCATGTTTCAGAGATAATGTCCAAGACATGCTTAAAGGTCAACACTTCAAAATCTATTTTATTGCACTAAACTAACTTTTATATATCTATACATCATTCTATGTTGTTATTTTCCCAATTTTCAATGTTAAAACAACAATTTTTAACAATTTGTTGATGGTTTCTGCCTGGGAAATTGTCAGAAATCATAAACTTTGAAGGCTGATTTCTAAAATATTGTTTTTTTTTTGTTTTTTTTTTTAACTCCTGTAGCTTCATAACGGAATGTCGGATTTAAATGATTCTTTTAGAATTTTGAAAGCTCTTATTTTACTGTTTAACCCAAAAGTAACTCAAAATGGTTTGGCTTGTTTTTTGCCACATATTGTACAGGTATATTATTTGTTTTAGAAATTTTTAGTATAAAAACTTGATACTTGTTTGCGCTCATATTGTTTCAGGTGTACCGTCGAGGAACCCAAGTGGAAGTTCATCTGTCAGCTCTGTCAGCAGCCCCACCCTAGCCAACACCTCACCAACTGCAGTCCCATAATGCACTGTTCACCTTTACCCGATCACAGAATACACGGTAATGTTGATACAATAAGAAAAGGCTATGTGTAATGGAATACAGCAGCTCAAAGAAACTATCCTTATTTTAAGATGGTTATGTGCATTAGGCTCTATTCAGACTATCACATTTTATTTGAAAAATACATGCGACATGACTATATATGGTCATGATGACATCACATCATGAACTTATATAGGCACATCATGACTATATATGGGATTTTTGTCACTAGAAATTTGATAGTGTGGCCAGAGCAATATTGTATGCGATGCCATGCACATTAGGTAAATATGGCCAAATTATTATTGTTGTTATATTATTATATTGATTGAATAGGTGTTACAAATAATGATTATATTTATTAAAATGGGAAAAAAAATTGTTTTAAGAAATGTTTGACCAAAGAGATGGTTCTCTACTGTCAATACACTGCTAGTGATAAATCATTGTAGAATATAAAAGTTGGACCATTTGATGTTTTTGAGTATTTATTAAACTGAAGTTGTTTCTTGAAATAATTATAATAATAATAATAAAAATAGTGATAATTATAATTATTATTATTTTTATTGTTGTTATTATTCTTATTGTGTTCATTTTAGTTGGACAAGTAGTCGAATTAGTCTATTATGATAAAATTTGCTGAATGTAGGAAGGGCATGTTAAGACTGAATGATACTTATTCCATTATCTTTCATGATGGCTGTGTCTTTCTCAGGCGACATATCAGAAGTAGCCACAGTATCTAAAAGTTCATGGAATAAACATAAAAGTGGTTTGGCTCAGCAGAAACGGTTTATTTTCCCAATCTCAAGGCCGGGTTTCAATCTCCCGCTGTGCATTGCACTTGAGTCCTGTGAGCACTTCATCCACATTGCTCCCCCTTCCCCAGGAGTATTAATTGGTACCTGGTGGGGTTGCCTGTTCCTTCGCTGTTTACAGCAGCAACAATGGCCTGGGACAAAAGCGCTTCGCATCCGCAAAGAAATTGCTATATTGATAAACAATGAAATAATTAAAATAGATAATGTCAGTAAATTTAACATACAATTTCTGTGTTTATTAATTGTATTGTTAGTGAGATTATTTGTTTTAAATGTTATTATTGTTATTAATATTATTATTATTATTATTGTTACTATTATTATTGTTGTTGTTGTTTATTTATATTTCATTATGTCATACCAAATTATAAATTCTATAAAGAAATTTGAATTTAAAGATACACTATGTGTTGAGCTAGAGAAATGAAATTCATTATTTGACTTCCTTGTACTAATTTAAGTAAATTTAATATTTGTTTTTATTTAAAAAGAGAAACTGTTTTTGTGTTAATAATGTCATTCCTATATTTTTGCGAGGACTAAAATTCGCTGGTAACCGTTTAAGAATAATTGTAGTAAAATGTGTGTAGTTCAGCGAAAAAGTTGCTTTAATTGGTCACTCACTGAAAGTTTTTTAGTACACTGTACCATATTTGGTCGTTTTAAAATGAGTAATTCAAAATTTTAATTGATTTTTGATGTTTTTCTAGATTTTATCATAGATGATCATCTTTATGAAAATAATGGTATTATAGGTCAGGTGAATAAAGTCATAAATATTCAACTATTATCCGATAAGATAAAATAAAATAAAGGAAGGGGTCCCAAGACTTCCTGAAGTCGCGGTAGTATCTTGAAAAGCGGAACAGCCTCCCACATTCCCGCAAACAATCAAGAATCTCCAAAAAAATAACCCATTTCCCGCAAATTCATAATATTTGCATATTTAAACTACTTTAGTATTGATTGTCTCACGGAAGTCATTGCCGATGGGTATCACCATACGCAGCAAAATAAAATTAAATATGTTAAGAAAGCTTATTTAGCAATTCCCCCGGAATGCATTTCTTCCAACTTGGGACCCCTTTAAAGGGCAATTTCGTCTGTTGTAGTAAACTACTGAAATTTGCAAATCTAATTCGTATCTGCCTATTTTAATTTATATTTAGTTTTAGTTTACCATAAGAAAATACTTTTATAACGTATTAGGATGTGTAGTCAATTACTGATTTTATTTCTTCTTCAAACGTTAGGCTTTATTCATACTATCATGTCTAGAAAAAATAGTGTGTGATTTGCCCATGCCGTATAATGATAATGTCATGTGTTATCGGCAAATCACAGGTATTTGTGACGTAAACTGGTTAGTGTGAACAGAGCTTTAACTACGTCTGAATGGACCACTTACGCTGTGCCCTTTAGATTTATTTGCTATTGTCGCATAAAACATGCGTGTTTGTGGTATGTGTGTTTTGCGCATATTCCTGGGCCTGCTTTGATCGGTCGTTTAAGTTTGATTGACACCTGGAAAGATCCGTTTTTCAAATGGTAGAGTATAAGTTTCTTTGAATGTTTGTAATTCATCATCTTTTATACACTGCTGATATAAAATAGTATTGTATCATATTGTGATAACTTGTGATTGTGATATTTTTTTATGCAGCCTCCTTAAAATTTATAGTTTAGAACACAGTTCATATACAGGTACTGTATTTCATTCAGAATGATGTGCATCATAAATATACCATAAGAGCAGTATGTTTTGAACCAGGGTATATTGGTAAAAGATTTTAATAATTGTTATACATACAATTATTGACTTAATTTTATTTCAGTTTATAGAAGTTCATTTTAAGTAAATACTGTTGTCGATTTTATTGTGTTTCAGAAATAAAATCTGGTTTATTTTGGACTTTTTAGAAATCTGTTTGGATAAGTTGAAAATTAATTCTGAAATGAAGAAATGTGGGATACAATAATGTTAGATGGATTGATGTAAATTGTTCTGTACATTACAAAGTAGTTGGGTGTTTTATTTTTGGGGGTGGGGAGGTGGGTGGGAACTGTCTGTATGGATTATGTCCATTAAATTGTATTGTGATTTTGTTTTAGGTTTAAGCACCACCACCAGTTTGCACTGATCTAGTTCCAGAAAGCAGTTCACTCGAGTTTGAATGCTTTGCTTAATTATTGTATAAGAAAAAATCGGTTTGTGATGAATAGCAAGTGTGTATAAATATATTGTATGATTCAGAAAAACTTGCATGTGACATGATAACTTGTAAATTCATAAATTGGGGTCTTCTGTTATTCATATAAATATGGTTCATTTAATTATAAACATAAATTTATTTCAAATAGTGTCAATATTGTAATTATAATTATGGGGTTAAATCATGTTGAAAGATGATATAGCTATGATTATGATGATGCTGATAACAGAACTGTTGATTGCACTTTAAATGTCTATTCTGACTTTTCAGATTTGTTGCTACAATATAATAATGTTTGACCTCTAGTAGCTCAATTATGATTAGCTGAATGATGTAATGTCCTGAGTGGAGAATGTGATTAGCCCCAATCAGAAATGTGCATTGCATTGTACATTTTTTTACATAATGATTGAATATATTTTTTTCCAAGATAAAATCTGATGAAGATGATGTATCTGTTTTATATAGGCTGTTTAAGAACGATATACCAAAATAGAAAATGCTTTTGTTTTTTGCACGAATATAGGTATGTCCACTGTTTCTTCCAAATTGTCAGTATTTTGACATTAATTTTCATGGATTTTATGAAGACACGCGCACATGCTTACACCAATCAGGTTGTTATTTTCATAGTGCATGAAGAAGTGAGACTCTTATGTATGTATATTGTTAAACAGCATTTGTAATTCAGTTACATTACTTTTAATAAATGTGTGATCATATCCACTTGGTTTCCTTTGCATTTATTGTCAATTTATTATTACACTTCATTAATATTTCCAATTTTTATCATTTTATTTAACAGAAATGGCTCTTGCATATATATGTATATATGTATATATATGTAAATATATATATATATATATATATAAACAGTATGACAATGTGAAGGGTTCCCCCACCTGTCACTACTTAGTGCGCCTTATTCTTGACCAGTGCTCTGCGGCAGAGAGAAGTCGCAACATTGGGATGGTCGTACTAACGGATTTCACTAAGGCTTTTGACCTTATCAATCACAATGTACTAATGTCTAAAATGATTGATATTGGAATCTGTAGGTCGATTGTCCCATGGATTTGCGACTTCCTCAGTCGTAGAGAGCAGTGTGTAAAGCACAATAATTCAATGTTGTCTTACAGTATGTTTGTTTCAAGGGTGGGTTAAACATGTTGAACTTTGTGCTATCTATACCGGATACATTAGATCTGTCTTTCAATATGATGATGTGATATTGCACCCTGGAATTACTAAAACACTTAGTGAAAAACTTGAGGCTGCTTAGAAATGTGCTTGCTGTATTATCTTAGGAAGGAATTATCAGAATTATGAACATGCTAGAACTCTTTGTAATCTAGATACCCTCTTTAAGAGGAGAGCAGCCCACTGCCTCAAATTTGCTAAAGGCCTTTCCCTTTCTAACCATTTTGCTGATTTGATACGCCCCCCCACCCGAAACAATCTCTTGGTAGAAGTTTACACAATGGTAGTAATTATTCACAGCTTAAATGCAAAAACCAGAAGATGATCAAATAGTCCCATACCATATTACATTCGTTTACTCAATAACTCGTTCCACTTGCACCTTTTTTTTTTCTTTTGAACTTTTTGCATTTGTTTCCGAAAATTTAGGTTTGTGTTGGAATTTTAACTTCATATCTGTTGTCATTTCTGGTACATTTTTTTTCGATATTGCCGTTTTAACTCTTGTTTTAATGATTTTCTTTTGCCTTTTACATGTGTATTGATAACTTTGTCTTAATGTGTACGGCGCTCTGGTCTCTTTTGGAAGGGCGCCTAATAAATTATTATTATTATTACTGTATAATATATATAAATATATATATATTTATTTATTTAAAAAAACCTTTTGGCAGGATAACATATACTGGTGAGATCTTAACCGCTATTTTACAATATGGTCCTGCAAAAACACAGTACAATAACAACAAATTATATATATATATATATATATATATATATATATAGTAGTGTGTATTTTTTGTATTTTTTTTTTTAGTTAATCCTAAGTACTGTACCTTTATTGTATATTTTTAATTATATTAATCCACTATCCCGTATCCAAAGATACTATACAATGCTAAAATACTGTCTAGCCTGTAGGTGAATGACCCATTGAAAACTCCATTTCTTATACAGTAGTTAATATATACCACCAGCTAACCCTCTCCCGAGAGTTAGGTGGTGCTATGCTTTGTACATACCTGTGGTCCGGTGTAGGAAACACCTTGTCAACATCAAATGATGTATTACCGGACACAGGATATAGGGAATGGACAGTGACTTTGGGTAATGTTTGAGGGTAAATGACCAATGATAATTGAATATTTGAATGAGTAGGGTGGAGCCAGATCCCCCTACATATACCCAACATATCCAAGAAAAAAAGAGACACAGCAGAGAAGAAGAAGAAAACACTGCGAGATGCTGCTCAGAACTCCAGGACAAAGAAGTATAATCCTAAATTTGGACAGACTTAGGATTAATGTGCATTTCTTCCGAAGGCTGTACTTTACAATTTTTGTTGACCTTGTTCCTGAACTTTTCTTCAAACTTTTGCTACTTCATTGGATTTCGCTTTATATCATGAACTCTATTTTTTATTGGACTTTTCACAGTAATCGTTGTTCTACCAATACAAGCGTATGCTCCAGACGGTCTCACGTGAGTTCCCTTTATTACAAGTCCCTAACCTGTAATCCCCCATTGGATAATAATAAATAACTCCCTAATAAGTGAATACTGTATATATA